GACTTACAGCTGTAATCGCAGCAAAAGGTGGCGCTACAAAGTATTAACTTAAGGGGGCTGAATAATTTTGCATCGCCCAATTTTTCAGTTTTTTATTTGTTAAAAAAGTTTGAAATATCCAATAAATTTTGTTCCACTTCATGATTGTGTCCCACTTGTTGTTGATTTTTCACAAAAAATTACAGTTTTATATCTTTATGTTTGATACCTGAAATGTGGCAAAAGGTCGCAAAGTTCAAGGGGGCCGAATACTTTCGCAAGGCACTGTAATTGAGATAATGGTTTTGAATATAAGATAATTTAGAAGATTAGATATTTTCAGCCTTCAGTGTATAGCAGAGCTGTATTCCAAGAAACCTCTGCGGGTTCTGTGTCAGTGTATTTCGTTCATCTCCTTCAACTTTAAAAAAAAAAAAAGAAGTGAGTGAAGAGCGTAGGTTTATGTGAACTAGGGTTGTCACCATATCAGATTCTCACTACATGATTATCATGGCCAAAACAATATCACTATAATGTTATCATTGTGATAGCTACAGAAAATTTGAAAAAAAACAAAATAGTGCGATCAGTCAAATTCATCTTTAGCTGTATTGAGTAACTGTCTCCTTCTTGCTACATGAATTACACTCAAAATATGAATGTAGGGAAGTGGAGAGAGAGCCTGTAACCATAACGATACAGAAGCATACAAAAAGGACAGTTACATTTAATGGATAGTGATAAGGCAACCAGATGACCTGATAAAAGATGCATGAGGCCTAACATCGGCAATCAACATAATGTCAAACAAAATCAGGGGACAGAGGTTGTATATGAGACAACAAGCTGACAACTATCCATTCACATATACTATGACTTTGTCCACTGATCATGTCCTTTTAATAATTTTTTGTCTTTCTGATTTACACATTCTCTGTTTCTATGGCACATTTTTATGAAGAAAAAAGAGCAAGTTTAGTTATTCAGATTTCAAGCTAAGCTCAACACACTAAGACCATAATGTATCATTTGCTGTTTGAATTCAGTTCAATTCAGTTTTATGTGTATAGCGCCAAATCACAACAATCTCAGGACACTTTACAAAGTAAGGTCTAGACCCTATTATTATTATTATTATTATTATTATTGTAAAGGGAAAACCCAACAAATCCCCCTTGAGCAAGCACTTGTTGACAGCAGGGAGGAAAAACTCCCTTTAATGGAAGGAACCTCCTACAGACCCCAGCTCTTGGTGGGTGGCCTTAACTGGTTGGGGTGAATGGATAGACAAGCGAGGAAACAGAAAAGAAACAAGATACAACAAACACAACAACAAACAATCAAACACTGGTCAGGTTGATGTGGCTGGGGACTGCTCATCAGAATCAGAAATGTAGAGCTACAGAGCCAGGGCAACCTGCAGAAAGGTACAGGGAGAGAGAGAGAGAGAGGACACACTATGGGAGGGAGGAGATACATAATTAGTGATGTGTAATGGTGGCATATAGGTGCATGGAGAGGAAGGAGAGGAACTCAGAGCATCATGGGGGCCCCCCCAGCAGCCTAGACCTATAGCAGCATAACTAAGGGAAGGCTCAGGGTGACCTGATCCAGCCCTAACTATAAGCTTTATCAAAAAGGAAAGTCTTAAGTTTAATCTGAAAGGTAGAGAAGGCGTCTACCTCCTGAACTGAGACTGGCACTTGGTTCTATTGGAGAGGAGCTTGATAGCTAAAGGCTCTGCCTCCCATTCTACTTCTGTGGACTCTAGGAACCACAAGTAGACCTGCACTCTGAGAGCGAAGTGGTCTTTTGGGATGATAAGGCTCTATGAGGTCTTTAAGATACGATGGAGCCTTGTCATTAAGGGTTTTGTACGTTAGGAGAAGGATTTTAAATTATATTCTGAATTTTACAGTGAGCCAGTCGAGAGAAGCTAATATGGGGGAGATACCGTATGATCTCTCTTGCTAGTTCCTGTCAGTACTTTGGCTGCAGCATTTTGGAATAACTGGAGGCTTTTTAGGGAATTATTGGGACATCCTGATAGTAAAGAGTTACGGTAGTCCAGCCTGGAAGTAACAAATGCATGGACCAGTTTTTCAGCATCACTTTGAGACAGGATGTTCCTGATTTTCACAATATTGCACAGGTGAAAGAAGGCAGTTGTAGAGACGTGTTTTATGTGTGATTTAAAGGACATATCCTGGTCAAAAATGATTCAGGGGTTCCTAATACCAGTAATGGGGGCCAGAGCCATGTCATCTAGAGTAACAATATGGTTAGACAGCAGATTTCCAAGGTTTTCCAGCCCGAGCACAATAGCTTCAGTTTTGTCAGAGTTTAGAAGTAAGAAATTACAAGTCATCCAGGCCTTTATGTCTTTATTAAGATATGCTTGAAGTTTGACCAACTGATCTGATTCATCTGGGTTCACAGATAATTTAAATGAGTATCATCTGCATAGCAATGGAATTTTATGTCATGCTTCCTGATAATATTGTCTAAAGGGAGCATGTATAAAGTGAAGTAAATTGGAACTAACAAACAGCCCTGTGTAACACTGTGACTAACATCAGTCTGCACAGAAGATTCATCATTAACACAAATTTAAATCTTAATGATAAATAAGATTTGAACCAACTTAGTGCATTTCCTTTAATCCCAATAACATGTTCAAGTCTCTAGTAAAATGCTGTGATCAATGGTGTCAAAAGCAGAGGACAAATATGGAGACAAGTCCTTTATCTGATTAAGATTAAAAATTAAATTGTTGGAAATGAGCGTGCCATGGGCTCTTAATAAATGTTTTTTGTCAACCTCCTCTACTGGCTGTGAAGCGATTCCTACTGAGTGTGAGTCCAGTGTATAAGCTGGTGGAAAAAAAAATCCACAGTCCTCTTTCTGCATAAAAACTGTTCTAATTTCTGAAGTTCATTTTAAATTATGGGTTAGGCTTCAGCAGTGTGAGGCTGTCAAATTATGTGGCTATCTTCCAAGATACCGGTCTTTTTAGTGCAACATTAGTGTGTGGGCTACTTGACCGCCATTAGCCAGCCTCTGCGGCTCTCAGCAAACTCTTATGATGCCATCAGCGCGCTAGAGACAGTGCACCTCGATGCTGTATTTATCGCTGCAGGCAACTTTAACCAGTGCAATTTACGGACTGTACTTACCAAATATTACCAACATGTGAATATTCCCACCCGGGGCAAGAACACTCTAGATCATGTTAACAGTAAGTGCACGTGGTGCTTACAGGGCTGCACCCCGCCCCCACCCGGGATGCTCAGACCACATTTCTTTGTTCCTGTATCCAGCTTACAGACAAAGACTGAAACAAACAAACCCTATCACCAAACAAATTAAACTCTGGACCCCAGAGATTGAAGGCACCCTGCAGGACTGTTTTGCCCAGACAGACTGGGATGTGTTTAAAGCTGCAGCCACC